CTCAAATAACTTAGCTGCACAGCCCTGTGTCACAGGGACAACTCCAGCTGTCTCGGATCACAGCTCTGCCTTCCTCCTCAGAGAACTCAATACAAATATCTAGAGGAAGAATAACTTGCCTCATTCACTGACAAGCGAAAATTCAAGAGAAGTGTGGCACCCGTCAATAGATATCCCAGAAGCTGGAAAGAGACTCTGCAGCTGAGTGGGGTATACTGAGGCCAGGCACCCAGGCCTCCTGAGTGAGTGCTGGGATTAAAGTGTGTGCCACCACTGCCCAGCTCCTACATCTTACATACATACATCATACACACATATATGCACAAGGACAATAAAAACATTTCAATGAAGCCGGGCATTGGTGGTGCACACCTTTAATCTCAGCACTCAGGAGGCAGAGGCAGGCAGATCTCTGTGAGTTTGAGACCAGCCTGGTCTACAGAGCTAGCTCCAGGATAGCCTCCAAAGCCACAGAGAAACCCTGTCTTGAAAAACAAAAGAAAACAAACAAAAACATTTAAATGTATTTTAGCATCTTTTTGCTTTTAATTCATCTCTCTGCTGTTAAAATTGACTAAAGTTATCACTGCTGTTCATTTAGATTTTTTAAAATAGTTTTTTTTTTTTTTGGAGTGAGAATACAAAGGGCCTCTTCAGAAACCTGATAAATCTAGCAACATTTTCAAGATGACTTCTTGTGGAGGTTCGGATGACATGTTCCCATTTGAACTTCTGCATTTGAACACTTGGAGATGCTTGGGTAGATTTGGGAGATGTGGCCTTGCTGAAAAACCTATGGCCCCTGGGGCAGGCTCTTTGAGTTTTAAGAGTCACACTATTTTATTTTGCAATCTCTGCTTTATGCTGCAGTTGAAGGTGTGAATCTTCAGCTTCCTGCCACCATGCCTCTGCTCTACCATGATGAACTCTAATTCCTCTGGAACTGTTAGCCCTAAATCAACCATTTCTTCTATAAAACACCTTGGTCATGGTGTTTCATCACAGCAGGAGAAAAGCAACTAATACAATAATGAACTTCCAAAAAAGAAAAGAGACCAGCCTGGGCTATATGAAATCAAAAAAGAAAAAGAACCTGGCACTGAGGGACAGATGGGAGCTTAGTAGTAGAGTAGTTGCCTCATATTCCTGAAATTCTGCATGCACAACCTCCTGAAGCATTTGCTACATCAGCTGTGTGCACACGGAAGGGAGAGCAAAAGGCTAAAGCATGAAAACTAAGAGGCTACAAAAAAAAAAAAAAAAAAAAAAAAAGCAGACACCCTGACAACTGCAGCAGGATCCACCATTATTTACTACTTTTTTCGCTGCTGTGTAACAAAATGCCACGACCAAAAGCAAGTTACGGAAGTTTCCTTTACCTTTTGCTTCTGAGGGCTAGATGTCCATATGGTAGGGGGAGCAGGAAGTGTGCTCAGTCACATCTCAGCCACACACAGGAAGCAGAGGCATTGAGTACTGGAAGTGGGGTGGGGCCATCACCCCTCAAAGCTCATCCTCAGTGAGGGACTTCCTCCAGCAAGATTCCACAGCCTCCCCAAACAGAGCTACCAACTGGAACCAAGTACTCAGACACCCAAGTGTACGGGGGCATTTCTCACTCAACAGTCTACCTATCACCTAATGAGAGACTTCCTGAAAACGACATCAGACAGTGAAGGTAAAATAGGAAGCAGAGATAGGCAGATCCCTGGAAGCTTGGACCAGCCAGCCTGGCCCACATGGTAAAGTTCAAACTCCCCCATCTCAAGCAAAACGTGGAAAGGACCTGAGGACCAACACCCAAGGGTGTCCTCTAACTTCCACCCTCCACACATGATGTGCAAGTACACGCCAGCACTCCTGTCCACACCCCACACACATGAATGTGTGTGAACAAAAATTCTTTTCAAAAAGTGTGATGCAGGACCTATAATTAAAGAGAAATGGGGCTGGAGATATAGCTCAGTTAGTAGAGTACAAAGCTCTGACTCCAACCCCCAGCACTGCATAAACTGGGTATGAAGGTAAGGTGGAGCTCACAGGCCAGCCAGCCTAGCCTAGTCAGCAAGTTCTAGGTGCCAGTAAGAGAGTCTATCTAAAAATAAATAAATTAATAAATAAATAAGGTGGATGGTCCTGGAGAAATAACAGTCCTATACCACACACACACACACACACACACCTAAAACAAACAAACAAATTCAGAAAGTTTATGGGCTGAAAATTAAACCTAACTCTTTCCAGGGATGGGTATTACAGCTCAGGATGGAGTACTTGTCTAGAATGTATGAGACTCATTAAAAACATGCCTGGGTGGTGCATGCCTTTAACCCCAGTACTTGGGATGCAGAGGCAGGCCAGCCTGGGCTACAGAGTGAGTTCCAGGACAGTCAGGGATATACAGAGAAACTCTTGCAGTTCAGGTCGCAGTCTCCCTTGGAGACATGGGTTCCTATCCCACTTCTCACACCAGATATTGAGGTTTAATAAGGATCATGATAAACAAATACGCCGAATAGATGTTTATTCAGGAAGAAATAACTTACAATCTAGACAGATGAACACCAAGTTCCTCTGGATGCTCTGTCTCCTCTCAAGGTCCCACCAGCCAGAGAGCATTCCAGCTCCTCCTCAGACCTAGTTCCACAGGTCACTTCCGCCCATGGCTCCACCCCCAATGGGCGTAGTCAGTGCCACAGAAGCAGACAAAGTGACTATCTCACTACAAAACTCTGTCTCCAAATAAACAAATAATAAAATAAAGATTGGTTTTATTCTTATGTGCATGAGTGTTTTGTCTGCATGTAAGTGCATCACTTGCCTTCAGTGCCTGAGGAGAATAAAAGAGGACCCTATGACTATAGCTCCAGGAAGCTGGGTGCTGCCATGTGTGTACAAAGAACCTAACCTGGGTCCTCTGCAAGAGCTTCAGGCACTCTTAAGCAATTAGCCATCTCCATAGCCATTGCAGATGTATTTTTACTCAGACAGTATTACACCACACTTAACCCGTCTCATGTAGTCCAGTCATACAAGGAGGAGCAGCTGTTTGGGAAATTGAGAAGGCAAGCTACAGAAAAACAAACAAACAAAAAAGCACAATACACAGAAATAATAAAGGTGTATAGAGTCTGGTGTGGGGGCGCATGCCTTTGGTCTCACCATTCAGGAGGCAGAGGCAGGGATATTTCAGTGAGTTAAAGGTCAGCCTAGTTTACAAAATGAGTTCCAGAACAGCTGGGGCTGTTGCATAGACAAACCCAGTTTTGAAAAACTAAAGAAAAAAAAAAGTATGTGTAAAATATATTTTAATATCGCCTGCATTAATAGGAAAGACAAAAACAATAGGAAAACACACCAAAAATAAACATATTTTTAGAGAATAAATTAAAAATACTATAACAAACGAATGAAGACACGTTGGTGAATTTGTTTAAAAAGCTGGAGCGGAGAAATTGCCTATTTAAACAAGATGTGGAACTGGGTAGATGCTGCTACGCGAAAAATGACCAGCAGAGGGCAGAAATTCGCTTTCCCGGCTTCCAACTTCTTCCCGCACTGCAGGCTTTGGCTGTAGGGAAGTAGGGCCTGCTGCAGGGAAAAACCGCTCCCCCTGAAGTCTCTGCTCTGCCTCTGCTGAAGAAACTAAATATGCCTGTGAAGGAGCCCCAGTTTTAGACGGCGGGTCCTAGTGCCCTGTGCCCCATGCCGGATTCTGCCTCCTGTCCTTAATAACCCAATTAAAACAGCACATTAGAGGGTGGCAAGACCACTAAGCTTTAAAAAAATAAAAAATGCACTCTCTTTCAGAGGACTGGAATTTGGTCCCCAGCACCCATATCAGGCAACTCATAACCTCCTCTATCTAAGGAGAATCCAATGCCTGGGACCTCTGTGGACACTGCACACACACATACACACACACACACACACACACACACACACACACACACACACACACACACAGTACTAAAGCAGAAAAAGATTTACTCAGTGTGGCACCAAGAGAAAAAGGGCAAAGAGATCCAGCAACAGCCTACCTCAGTCCATCTTCAAGGCAAGATTGTATGACTCAGCAGCCTGACCAAGGTTTGGTGCAGGCCACCCTTGACCTGTCATGGCTCAGGGTCCAGGCTCATCCCATCAAGTGGACTGAGAAATTGTAATCCCTTTCTGTAAGTATGAGATTCCTGGGAAACTGCCATTTGTTTGGGGTCCACTCTTTCAGTGGTCTGATGGTCAGACTGAGAGTTGCAAGCATCTCTGAAATATCTTCATTCCTGGCAATCCAGTTACATTCATCAGTGTCGAGTCTCATAGCAGCTCTGTGATACAGTGAGCAGAAATCGTACCTTAAATTTCTCCGAAGTTCATGAACCTGAGACTCAACAACAGGAAGGCAAAGTTCAAGTTCACAGAGCAAGGTCAGGTTTTCTGATTGAAATGTAGCACATTTTCTAATCCATGAAAGGTAGCATGTGCCTTTAATCAGAGCATCCCAAAGGCAGAGACAGATGGATCTCTATGAGTTCCAGGCCAGCCTTGTCTACAAATAGAGTTCTAGGACAGGCAAGGTTACACAGAGAAACCCTGTGTTGGGAACAAACAACAACAACAACAACACACACACACACACACACACACACACGTGCACACACACACTAAAAGAGAAAGAAATGTAGTACGGTTTCTGCTTTACAGTAGGAATTAAGACCTCGGCTAAGAATTCACTCCCCCTCCTGCTGCCCTCAGGCAGGCAACTGTAACCCTGGATAATAGGAGAGATGCTTTCTAATGCAAAATGCTAATGCTCTTTTGGCTCCCCCAGCCTTGAAAGTGCCCTAACTGGTCCTTGGAACCTGAGATGACTAACCATCCCCTCTGCTTCCCCCTCCTCCATCTGGTGCTGGGGTTTATAAGCTAGCCCCCGGAGTAAAGTAGGAGATATAATAAAAAGCCTTCTTAACATCAAGAGAGTCCTGTGTGATTAACCTCCGCAGTTTCTCGGGCTTCTACAGCAGCGCAGGTGCCGCAATTGGAGGTCCTCACCGAGATTCTGAAAGCGAGGTAAGTGGACGGGGTTGTCCCTTGTGCCAGCAGGGACATACCGGGGTAAATAAGTAAAGAAAGAAAGAAAGAAAGAAAGAAAAAAGAGAAATGGAGAATTCACCCAGAAAGGTTGAATTAGAATTTCAACTAAAGGAACTTCTAGAGGAACAGGAAACTGCAGTAAAGACAGAAACTCTAGAAGGCTTTTAAAATCCATTCAACAGGCTAGTAAAAGTGAGGAAGATGAGCTTAAGAGTGTATCCAAGAAGCCTCTAGGTGCCCATGCAGATCAGAGAAAGACCATATCTTCAGGGAAAGACAGGGCCTTTCCTAAGGACCCTGGAGCATGGCCCAAGGAGAGGCGCCCTCCCGAAAGCCGCCACCATAGCTGTCTCAGAGCTGCACTGGGGCTTGGAGAAGCAAAGGTGCTGCCCGGTTTATGCACCAGGTCAGCAGGAACTCAGAGTTGTTGCAATGGTGACTGCTTGCTTTTCAAACAGCTGCAGTCACAGATGAGCTGCAGCAGGCCAGCCCAGGCCTAGAGAGCAAAGGCAGGAGGAGACCTAGATGCCTGCTGCTTTAGGAGCTGCTGCCATGGCTAACACCCAGTCAAGAGTTGGAATAACTAATACAGCCTGTCAGAAAGGGTTTTAAGGACTCATAAAAAAAAATAAAAAATAAAAAAAAGACAAAAAGAAAAAAGTGACATATATTGGGATATATTCGGATTTTGGATGTTCATAATTCAAGCTTTAGTTACAACAGCTACATTACAAGAGATTTCAATTAGAGATGTTCTATTTCAACAAACTAATCTTGGTCTAAAGAAAAGGAGAGCTGAAAAATGTATGTATGTTCTGTGTGTATGGTGTGGCCACACATGTGAATGTTTGAGTGTCTGAAGTGTGATTGTGAATATATAAATGTGTGAATCCCAACAATAGGTACTACATGAATTTCTTAGATATAAAAGAGAGAGAAAGACATCAGGGTTGGAGATCTGCATCTCCCATGACTGTCTTGCAGAGTGAAACAGTAGGAAAAGGTCAAAGCCACAATGGCCTGAGAGCCAGAGAAATCTGCATGGATGTCTCAAGAGTTTAGCAGAGGAGAGAATACAGAAATCTTCCTAAATTTTGGTGATTAAAAAAGAAATTGAAAGAATGGAGGTTAATATAAGATTTAAGAAAAGCTATTGAGAAAAAGCCTTAGGAAACTACAGCCATTAGGCCCAACCTAAAAAGGTGTCAGTGAAGATGCAAATGAGACCATGTCAGCTAATGAAAACTTTACAGGTCAGAGTAGAAAAAGTTTTCAAAAGTATTTGGGACTTATGTTACATCCTAAAGAAATTAGGCCTCGAAAATTAGAAATTAGAAAAGATAGTTTATGATCATTGAATGATTTTCAGAAGTTATTAGGAAATATTTCAATGGTTATGTCCTTTTTAAAGTACCTACTGGCGATGTGAAACCTTTAAGCAATATCCTGAAAGGAGATAGTGATCTCCTAGACAGCTAACTGAAGAGAGTAGACAAGTTCTCCTACAATTGGAGAATGCAATCTAGTATCAGCAGATATGCTATATTGACTATGCAAAACCATGGGATACTTATGTGCTTTCCACACAGCATAGTCCAATTCTTTCTGTCTTATGGCAAGGGGGATCATTGTTATGGTTGCATTTACCTGTTTCTCCAGCCAAAGTGTTAAATCCTTATTTTGAAGCAGTAGCTTATGTGGTACAAAAATGCCATATGTAGTCTAGGAGATATTTTGGCAAGGAACCAAATGTATACATGTTCTCTATACCAAACAGCAAGTTGATTGGTTATTTCAAAACAGAGATTCATGGAAATTGCTTTTACTCAGTTTTTGGGAAAAATTGATAATCAGTTTCCAGCTCATAGACTGTTGCAATTTGCATTAACACATCCTTTTGTATTCCCTAAAATTGTACGGAATAATCCTGTTAAAAATGCTATGTTAGTTTTTACTGATGGTTCTTCTAATGGAAAAGCAGCTTATGTTATTGATGGAAAAGAATATGTAGTGCAGACAGATCCAGCTTCAGCTCAGATAGTTGAATTATAAGATGTTGCAATAGTTTTTCAGCTTCTAATGAATGATACATTTAACACATATACTAATAGTCATTATGTTTTCAGAGCTCTTCAAGTTATAGAGACGGTTCCATACATTGGAACTACTAATAATCAGGTTAAATTACTGTTTGAGCAAATTCAAAGTGCCATTCATCAAAGAAAGGCACCTTGCTTTGTGGGTCATATAAGAGCTCATTTAAACCTTCCAAGAAAGAGGTTGAGCATTTACAGACCTCTCATGATGGGTCACATCTAAAGGAGCTAAATTTGATAACCACTACCCAAATAACCTCTTGCTGTCTTTTTTTAGGCAGCACCCTGTAATTTTTCCTAAGATTATAAAGAAGCCCCCCCACCCCCCCTTCTAGGAGCATGCTCAGTGTTTACAGAGGGTTCCTCTAAGGGTTTTGCTATAGTAGTTTCTGGTCAAATGCAAAAGAGGACACCTACAGGGCAAATGTCCACCCAGGCCAGGCTGCTGAATTGGTTGCTTACCTAATGGATTTCAGTTGTTTGATAAAGAACCTTTTACTCTATATACTGATAGCATTTATGTTGCTCATATTGTAAAACCATTAGAGACTTCTCCATATGTCCTTCCCACCTCTCAAGTTCATTCTCTTCTAGTTAAGATTCAACATCTTATCTGGCAGCAGATACACCTGCACTTGTGGGATACATACATGCCCATACAGGCCTCCCAGGACCCCTTGCCCAGGGCAATCAACTTGCTGATTCCTTAACTCGGCCCCCAATAGTCATGTTCACAGAAGAGCAACACACTTGCCAGCTTCATGAGTGGTATCACCAAAATGCACGCTCTCTTGAGTTTCATACTAACTGCTCTTTACCTGTTGCCACTCAAATTACTTCTCAATGCCCTGATTGTGCCCCTTATCATAATTTTCCCAATGAGGGGGTGAATCCCTGGAGACTAAGGGCTAACAATCTTTGGCAGATGAATATCACTCACCTGCCTCAAGCAGGAAAATTAAAATATATACATGTTTCTGTGGATACATATTCTAAGATGGTTTTTTGCATCTCTACACTCTGGAGAAAAGATTAAAGATGTTGAAAGACCTCACGCCCCGACTCAGGAAAGGCGGCCCCCCCAAATCACTCATGAGAAGCGGTCCTGATGCAAAAGCATGAGGTCTTTTATATTCCAGTGCACTGGGGTCCACAGCCATACTCCACGTGGGGGTAGAGGACTGGGGAACCCTGGGTACAGGATTGAGACAGCTTTTATAGGGTTACAACAAAGCCAGCGCATCATAAACCAATCATCTCATAGCATCCAGTGCAGACCAATTTGAACTATCCAAGCCCGAGCTTAGCCCAGGAAATCTGCTTTAGGGCGGGCTTCTGGGTGGGTTGACAAAGCTCATTTTCTGTGTTCACTCACAGGTGCTGTCGTAAACAGTCAAGAATGTGACTTTTTGCCTACTCACTGCTATGGGGCATAGTCTGGGGAGAGTTAGGCCAAATTTTTCCATCCTTACAATGTCATCTCTCATTGTTTACAGGCCTTTGCCTATATGGGTGTTCCTGATACCTTAAAAATAGATAATGGTCCCGCATCTGCTAGGAACATCATATTAATCACTCCTTTGGCATCGCACACAACCCTACAGGATAAGCCATCGTGGAATGCACTCATGCCACTCTTAAACAATATTTTAATAAAATAAAAAAGGGGGAATATAGAACCTCCCCCAATTCCCAATTATCCACTATACTTTATATTTAAAATTTTCTGACTATAGATAAAAATAACTTGTATGCCATTGGAACAAACCCTCTCAAACATTGGGATGGGTCAGACGGAAAGACATAATTACAGGACAATGGCAACCACCCACCCCACTATTAGCTAGGATCCCAGAGGCTGTTTGTGTTTTCCCCCCCAGGAACAGAGAAACCTATTTGGATACCAGAACGACATGTTCGCCCTGTGGATCCTGATCAGGAATCTAGTCCTGCTTTTCTGGAGTCTCTGGCCCATGGAGGGATGGATGGTTTGGGCCTTAGTGAGGAACCCCCACATCCTGATGCCAGTTAGTCAGGAGAGAACATTCCCTGGGACTACTGGCTGCCAATGTGCCCCTGGAAACTTCATTACTGAGTAAATTGACCTTCCTGACACAGGGGAGTCTTTGCTTCCAGAGGGTGCTTAATGTTTTTCAGTTGCCCAATGGGTCATTCTCGGTGTCATGCATAGCTTTGAGTAATGCTTCCATTGCTGATTTTCACTCCAATGCCAGTATGAGCAATTGCTGGGTACTTAGAGAGGTCCTATACCATAAACTTCCAGCGGGAACAGGAAAATGCTGCTATATGGCCCCCTAGATCCAGGACCCTATGCTGGAAGCTCCCCAGAAAATTATGACTTGCATAGGTCCTTGCCTTGGGGACACTGCATCACCTTTAATGGGTCCTTGGGGGAGGGAGAATCTCTCAATTGTTCTTCCAGAACCAGCTTCCTGAGCAACTGCTGGCCCCCGATGGACACCCGTGCCCTGGTATTTCGAGTTCCTGTCCTTGCCCCCATGGTGATGGAAGATAGACATGGGGGAGAAGAGATTATCCTCTACTACCAAGAAGGGACTTTGATATTACTGCTGCCATCATTTCTGCCAATGTTGTGTCAGCAACTGCTGCCGCCATTGCAAGGATTGCTGTCGCTCAGTCCGCCGCCAACGCAGACTGTTAACCAGCTGGCGGACAGAATCAGCGAACTCTAGCTACATAGAATGCCATGAATGTTCCTATTCAGTTTGGAATCCTTAACTTAAATCAGCAGACTGCCTTACTTCAGGAACAAGTTGGTGTAGCAGGACTCCTACTCACACTCTGTCATTCCTCTTGTGTCACCTTATTTGAAATGCAAATGCATCAATGAATACTTGGCAGCACTTTGTCTTTTGTAAACTTTACCAATGTTTTAGCTCACCAGATAGCAGAGGTCAATAAGACCCAAATTACTCCTATTTCAGCAGAGGTCTGGTGGAATACCATGGCCCAGTTTGGAGGTTGGATACAGCTTTGGGGTGGCACATTCTCTCTAAGGAACTTGGGGCTGGAAGTGGCCGGGGCAGGAATTCTTGTGCTATGCAAGATCTGATAGTTCTTTTCACAAAAGGAACTCAGCCTGGCCCATGGCTCTCCTGACAGTCATGAGGTCTGGTTACAGATGCTGCAGAAATGAGGGTTCCCCCATGACAGGCAACTTGTAGGGACCCCCTACCGCCTAAGACATGGGATTACCAGGTAAGATGGGTAAGAGATGGCACACCCTGCACGTCCTAAGCCAGGGGTCTCTCATAGAAAATAAAAAAAGGGGGGGGGTTGTAGGAATTAAGACCTTGGCTAAGAATTCACTTCCCCTTGCTGCTCTCAGGGCAGGCATCTATAACCTCAGGAAAAGAAAAACAGGCTTACTGAGGTAAGGTGTCCCTTTGTTCTCTGCAACCTTGGGTCGGGTCCCCTGCAGGTACCCTAACTGGTCCTTGGAACCTGAGATGACTAACCACCCCCCTCAGCTTCCCCCTCCTCCATCTGGTGCCAGGGTATATAAGCCAGCCCCCAGCGTAAATAAAAAGAAAGAAAGAGCCTTCTTAACATCAAGCAAAAATCCTGTACTATTAATCTTGACACCCTCTGCAGAATTTCACACACACACACATACACACACACACACACACACACACACACACACACACACACGCTGCGCAGGCACAGCACAGGTGTGCGTGGGAGCAGCCCTGTGTTGCAGATGAAGATGAAAATGCAAAGCTTTTACTGGAGAGTCAGAATTTGAGTGCAGCCGTGCCTAGTTCTTGAGAACAAATTAGCAGGTGCTCTGCCAGGAAGCAACACTCCCAGCCATGAGAGCCAGACTCTCAGTCACCACCATCACCACCACCACCACCACCACCACAGATTTCTAATTGGGAACCATCTGTGGCTCTGAAAGCCCTGTAGAGCATGGACCTTTTCGCTCCTATTCAGGAAAAGTGACACCCCAAATCACTCAGGAGAAGCGGTCTTGCGGCAAAAGCATGAGGACTTTTAATTCCAAGTGCATTGGGGTACACAGTCATGAACCATGTAGGGGTAGAGGACTGAGGACCCTGAGTACAGAATTGAGACAGCTTTTATAGGGTTATAACAAAGCCCACACATCTTAAACCAATCATCTCATAGCATCCAGAGTCTGTGCAGTGCGGACCAATCAATTTAAACCATCCAAGCCCGTCCTTTATAGATCAATCAGTTTTCTATATCCCTGGAGGTCTGCATTTGTGCGGGCTCCTAGGTGGGGTAACAAATGGCAGTTAGGTTAGGTCACTGGGGCCGGGGTTTCACAAGCAGTTTACAAAGTCAGGTAAGCTGCAAGGAGTGTGACCTTTTGCCTATTTACTGGCTGAGGGTCTGGAATTTAAGGTATTTAGTATTTTTAAACTTCTAGCTTCCTGGGGTCATTGGAGAGTTAGGCTGTATTTTTCCATCCTTACAACTCCAGCAAGCTCTGCATGAAGGGTTTTTGTGGAACTGTTGTGTTTGGAAAGCAGAGTTTTGTTTCTGTTGTACAAATAACCTTACTAAATATTTTCCCCTCAGTCACTCAGGTGGCAAATGGTGGAGCCAGGGTTTTAACAATCAACCCTCTGACTCCAGAGCCTACTTTAAATTTTCTCTGCTTTAAATACCTTGATTCTCTGTGGTAGTTTGAAAGAAAATGTCCCCCAAAGAGAATGGCACCTTTAGGAGGAGGTGTGGCTTTCCTGGAGTAAATGTGTCACTGTGGAGGCAGGCTTTGAGGTCTCCTATTATGCTCAAGTCACACCAGCATCTCAGACCACTTCCTGTTGCCTGTAAATCAAGATGTAGGAGATGAAGGACTATCTCAACTCCTTGTTTAGCACCATGCTGCCTCACTTCCCACTGTAATGATAATGGATTAAACCTCTGAAATATAAGCCACCAATATGTTTTCCTTTATAATAGTTGCCATGGTGGACGGGCGTTGGTGGAGTGCACCTTTAATCCCAGCACTTGAGAGTCAGAGGTAGGCAGATCTCTGTGAGTTTGAGTCTACACAGCTAGTTCCAGGACAGGCTTCAAAGCCACAGAGAAACACCATCTCAAAAAAACTAAATAAATAAATAAACATTTTTTAAAAGATGCCACGGTCATGGTGTCTCTTCAGCAATGGGAATCCTAGCTAAGACACTCATATAACATAAATGAACTTTGAGGTGAGAATGTTCCCAGACCTTCCCAGGAGTGAAGTGTTTAATTCACCAATGATGTGGTCCAAGTGTGTTAATAAGGAAGCAAACTGTTGAGGGAGAAGGAAGATGGGAGAAGAACAGACTTGACTATGGGATTCTTGTGTCAATCTGGGTTTTTGCTGCTGTAATGAAATGCCTGAGGCTGGGTGCCTCATAAGGAAAGGAGGTTATTCAGCTCACAGCTATAGAGCTGAAAACTCAAACTACGTGGTGCTGTCTGCAGTGAGAAGCCCCTAGCTGCATCACTAGATGGTAAATGGCATCATTAAGGGGGTACAGGAGTGGGAGATTGTACAATAAGACAAGAAGCCAAAGATGGGAGGGTCCTGTCTCTCTCCTTTGTAACAGGTGACTGAGGTCCCCTGAGAATGGCCCCAGTTTCTTTAGGTGGCAGTGTTCACACCACAAGACAGTCACCACACCAGGCTTCTCCTTAATTTCCACCCTTTACATCACCCAACCCCAATTTGGAAGGCTGACCTTCAGTCCCCTGCACAACAGTGGTTTGTAGGACCTGTTTGTGTTTGACTCTGACCTCAGAGAGGATTCCCCAGTACACATCATCTGCCTGCCCATAGCAAGGTAAGTCTTAGAGCAGTGGTTCTTAACCTGTGAGTCAACCCACTTTGGGAGTTGCATAGCAGATGTTCAGAACATCAGAAATTCACATCACAATTCATAACAGTAGCAAAATTACAGTTATGATGAAGCAATGAAAACAATCTTATGGTTTTGGGGGTGGTCACCATAACATGAAGAACTGTATTAAAGGGACACAGTGTTAGGGAGGTTGAGAACCACAGCTCTAAAGAGTCTTGCCAATGATTCATACTTGTGTCCTGTTGCCCTTAACTGTCCAGACCTGAATGAATAGTCCTGTGTCTGTGGTCTCTTGCAATCTCTAGCTTAGCTCTCAGCTGCTGATGAGGAGGGAGAAATAGGACCCATTACAGGGTGCTGAGTATTGGAAGTCACCTGCTCCATCTGCTGAGACCAAAGAACATTTTCTTCTAAAGTCTTGTACAGAGTCCCTGTCCTCCGCAGCACCCTAACCAACGACAGATGACTCAAGTTCAAAAACCACATTTTTGCTTAGTACTCCTCCACTTGGATTGAGGGCTGCCAATCAAAGTGCAAACCAGTTAAAGTAATTCTCAAGGACTCATGGGAGGCAGGCGAACACACAGCTAGGTGTTCTGCTAAACCCACCCTGTATTTGAAAACACAAGCCTGGAGACAGGGAGAACTTTTTCTTACCCAGCTTTTCAAAGGCACAGTGTGGCTGTGAGGCTGAGACTATACTTGGAGTGATACTTTCCCCTGCCAATTAAGGAATGAGTCATGCTTTAAAAATAGGCTAAGTTGGGACTTCACTTAGACACACATGAAAACTCAAGCATCAGGAAAGGCATGTAGCTGTGAGAAGGTCAAGGATGCTCTTACAGGCAGAGCTGGGCTTCTCTGTGGGAGGGATTTGAGAGTGTTTTAACATATGATGAGTGGGTCATGGAGGCCTCATGGTGCCACATCCTAACAGAAAGACTGTTCAGTTTTCTCTGACTGGTCACATGGTTTGTCTCCTTCCTTCACTTCCTCTTCTCTCCTTACCTCTCTTTCCTTCCTTCCTCTCCTCTCCCTCCCTCCTCTCCCCTCCTATCTCCCTCCCTTCCTTCCTTCCTCCCTTCTACTACTGGGGATTGAAGCCAGACAGAGCCTTATATATGCTAAGCCATCATTTTCTCCATTTTCTCACTGAGCTCTTTTTACCAGCTCTTTTTTTTTTTTCTCTCTTTCACCCTTTTGTTTTTGAGACAGGGTCTCTTATATAGTTCAGGTTAGCCTTGAACTCGCTGTGTACCACAGGTTAACTTCAAACTCTCAATCTTCTCCAGTGCTGGGATTAGAGATGTGTGCTACCACATCCTGCAAAAGTTAGCTGTTTTAACTGAAAATACACCCATTCTTTTCTTACGTTTTAAGAAGGATCTATACATAGCTCATGGTGGCCTCAAAGTCTTGATCCTCCTGCCTCACCCTCTTAGTTGTTGGGACTATAAGCATGGGCCACCATTGTAATTTTTAACATGAAAATTTTAATGGTAGCTGTTAATTTTGGAATTATTTCTATACAGTTTCATGCACTAGCTATAATACAATGGGACATTGATATCTTCCTGTTCAGTTTCTAATCTTGTATTTATTGGATCTTCTTACTGGGGTGATGGGTCAAGTCTTTGTTATACTTGTAGACATTATTAAGTTTAATCTTTTTAGTGAATATAAAATGTCAGATAGAGTAGGTCAGATAAACCAAGATTCAGTGGATAGGGGGCTATGGTGTAATTCTTTTCTCTCACTGAAACATTCCTTCCAAAAGGCCAAGTAAGACTCAGGAACTGACTTTAATTTATAAGCTCAGAAAGTAAATGAAACTCAGAAGACTCAGG